TTAAAGGTAAAATTTTTTAGTATATTACTATGGAAAATTGCAGAAGGAAATAAAATATGAAATAAATCATCAGTTTTTATGTTCTCGTATAAAGCACTCAATTTTTACATACTACCTTTTGCACTAAAAGTAGTGATATGCTCTTTTGCAAAATCGATCTACTTTGCTTAGTTCATCAACTGAATCAATCAAAATTGGTGTCTATATCTCTTAACAAAAAATTTTAAAATAGAGAGAGAGAGACGAAGTCAGTATAAGTGTATACCAAAGAGGTTAGAAATAATAAAATAGTTGATAATGAATTACTGTAGATATGTCTTCTTCAAATGGTTTTAAATATTATCATTATCACCATCCGATGGCGCTATGGTCCATGTAGAATCCTGGCCTCTTTTACTATCTTCCTCCAAACCGAGCCTCTCTTCATTCAACTACACCCGGACTCCTAAGATCGTTTAAAATTTAGTAGGAGGAGAACCTTTTTATCATTAGAGACCGCAGTAAGGTTAGGCAGTGCTAATGGAGGACGCAATTATTCTTTAGATTTTACTGTTTCTATTTTATTTGTCACTAAATACACACCCCCGAACACATATTTTCAACTTAATTCTATTCTGATTATTATTTTGTGTTCTGATTATTATTTTGTTTCTATTTATTTTATGTTTTTTGTACATATAGTGTGAATGTCATCCTACCTCACTATAACCAATGTCCAAGAGACAGATTGTTGTATTACTCAATAAAGAAATTTAAAAAAAAAATTCTATTAATTTCCAAATTTTCGTTACTTAAATAATCAAATATTAATTAATTCTAGCACTGGATTAATAAATATAAACGCAAAAACGTTCCTTAGCCTCCAAGGCTGCAACTATCCCACAGAGGCCGCATCCCCCTTCCCCCCCCCCATGGTATAAAACGTTAAAAAAATGTTTTGGTATGAAATCATAAAACTGGAGATCGTTTCTGCCAAGCCCCTTTTTCATTTCTTGTATTATTTGTTCGATTGATTAGAATGATTTGTGAACAATCAACATAATTTTGGAATGTTGTCCAATTTATCAGATGGACGTTGGTAATATGTAAGATACAGGCATAAATAATCCAAATTTTACGTAAGTGGAATCTAGGAGTAAAGCTAGTCTTGATAATAACCAAATATTCTAAACAAACGTATCGACATCTCTCCAACGGAAAAAAATATAAAAGATAAATTCTTTGACCGGAGCACTCTCCTAGCAATGCTACTCAACTAATTAAATGAAAAGAATCCTGGCTGTGAATTCCATCAGATATTTTATTGCCAGATTATGTAGCAGCGTCAGAATTCCATGAGGTTCGGTTTTTAAAAACATATATACAAATGTAATATTTTTAATAAGAATTTAATCCATCGGTCACTGCCCTTGGAAACCTTTTTATTGCGTTCCTGGAACATACTCTGAATGTTCTAAATGTTCTAAAACTAAGAACCTCAAATAATATCTATGGCACAGTGGTGACTTGTACGCTTCTCCCCAACCTTTGAAAAGGTCCAGGTCTCTTCCCCACCAATATTTGGATATCCCGCATTAACATAAAATAACGTAAAATCTTAAACCTTAATATTAACAAATGCAAAAAAGTAAATTAGCTCATAAAAAAGTGCTTGCAGAAAAAATTCACATGGCACTAATGTTGCTTGATACTTCATCAGATATTTGCGTTTCAGCTCGGTTTTTAATTGTTTTTTTTTATAAAATATATCTCTACAACACATGTTAACACCTTCCCCATTGTGACCGGGTTCCTCGAATTTTGAATTGAGCGGATGATTCGTGAATACTGTTTTTTCACGTGCACTTAAACTAGCTCGTTAATCGCCAATCAATTCGGTTGAAGACCTAACAACGAAAGATTAAAACCATAATCACTACCACTTAACTAAATTCTCCGTATACATGATATTGAACTATGCTATCATATTGTAAATAAAGTTGACTTGCACCAAGTTCATCTAAGTTAAAGAGATCGTCCAATATTCTGAATAACTTAATACTACAAAATTATTTAATATTTGATGGTGAAGAAATTATGACTGTTGGATGAAATTGTTGAAGATAATGGTCGGGAATTGCAGTGGTAGACGTACTAAAAAATAAACATAATTTATGTTTATTGTAATATAATTTATTTTAGAAAATAAATACAATTTACTTTTGTGTACATCCAAGACTATAATTCCCGATCAACTTCTCCCCAACTTATTTAATATTTAATACAGTTTATAAAATTGTTCGTTTTAGAGAAGTGTCCGTTTAAAGATGTTTCACGATACATAATGGTTCCCGTCTCCTCCAATAATTGAGACAGGACGACGCTTACCTCAAATGTAGATGTGATACCGGAATGAAATACAAAATGACCTTGTGTGATCACTTGGCATTTCTTTCAACCCATCGGTTTACAACAAATAATAAAATATATAGTGTTTTGATTGTATTTATTATTTTGGAAAGGATTTTATTTATTAATCTGCTAAACAATAGGTTTGAGACATGCACGGAACTATATTCCTCACCCAATTTGTTTTATATTTGGAACGAAACATTATATGCACCTATAATATAATAATTATGATAAAGTAGTATTATTTAGATACAATTTATTCGTAATTTTTAACTGAATTTTCTGGAGTCTAATCCTAATGATTGATAAAATTATTAACAAATTAATGGTAAATGGGAGTATTCATGCAACCAGTGCTAAGTATTGCAAACCTCTTAAATGTGTTAAAGTCGAAAAACTTATTTCCGAAATGTAAGTTAAATATGACCGCTAGCACACTCGATTTTTATGTAGATTCGGGTATTTTAAAGTTGTGCTAACTCGTAAATACACGGAGAACGTTATTGTGAGGTTTTGATGTCGTGTTTGATTCTTAATTTGTCTTCATTTATGGTTTCTATTAAAGACTCTTTAACCAATAATCCAAGAACTCGGCTTTTTTATTTCACTTTGGCATTTAAAAAAAAAATCAAAACGAATGCTGACCAATCATGAATACTCATACTTTTTTTACAGTACAATCATAATCTTATTATAACAGATATAGGTGTTAAAATGTTTTATTTATTTTGTTATTATTTGGCTAATCTTTTATTTTACTTATCTTGTACATTACTTTATCTTTATATATATATATATATATATATATATATATATATATATATATATATATATTTTTTTTTCCTTTCTTATGTAAATATTGTGTGAATGAATACTATAGCCCAAGTACCAATGCCCTTCAGTGTGGCAGACTGTATTAATACTCAATAAAACAAAAACAAAAAATTATAACAGATTACAATATAGCACAGACAGATTATTTACCATTCATTTAAAAATTTTGCTGACTGCTGAGCATAACACGTTAAGCATTTACAACAAGCTTCGTGAATACCGTAATATCTGAAATTGGATTGCTACTTAGTTCCTAAATGGAGAAAACATCCCCAGAATAGGATTTTGTGGCTTTGGGTCGGGGACCTTATACCTGCACCAACCTTTTGAAAGTTGGGGGTGATGAAAAATATTTTTCTTGGAGGTACCAGAGACGAACTGTTGCGTGCAGGACAATTCCAGATCTACATAAAATTATTTCATAATTTCAAATATAGTTGAATATTCCACAGTTGCATGTAAAAGATAATCTTTTTGGAAAAGTAAGTTCTTTATATACGATAAAATTATTGGGATCGTACCAATATCAATAAAATCGTCCACCATTATTTCTACCTCTACAGCGGCATTTTAATGACTTGCCTGATACACGATGGGCCAGACCCCCTTACTGTGCACCGCTCCTCCCCCACATCCCTATAAATTGCATATCGTTGTGTTCCTTGTGATAATTTATTTTTAAAAAACCAATGTTCCCACAAAAAAAAGTGAACGAACTGCCCCAAAATGGCGTCCAAACATGGCGGATTGACGACTTTGACTTTAGTTAGTTTTTTTGTTACTGAGAATCAGCATTTGGCTTAATTTCATCATAGTTGGTCTTTTATTAAAGCTGAATAGTCAGAGAATAATAAAACATGAAAAAATATTAAAAATTAATTGGCTTAGGCAATAAAAAACATCGGCAAAGTCAATTTTTTTAACAAAAAAAATTTCAAGTTGAAAATCAAGCGTCGTTTGTAATTAAACGGCCAACAATAATGCAAAACATGATGCAATAAAACATCTGGAGAATACATTTCTCTTTCTAAAACACTGATTACTTTTTAAAATATTTGAAGTAGTTCCGTAGAAAATGCACATAAGCGGCAGAAAAGCGCTACTGGCGTAGGTGCCTTCAGACCTCTACAACCCCATTTTTGTGCATATAATTTGGATAAATATAGTATTGCGTAGAATATATTACCACCGAAGAAGGATGAGTTAACCGGAGAATTTAGGCGGTTACACAACTCTGAATTGCGTGAACTGTACCCAGTTAATATAATTGAGATGATTTCATTGAGGCGAATAAAATGGGTATGAAAAATCGATGGCATTAGTAATAAAAGAATTCCTGAAAAGTTAATATGCGTTGTGCTGACTGGCAAACGTCCGAGGGATAGACTAAAGCGAAGGTGGGAAGATTGCGTTAAGGCAGATCTGGGGGAGCTGGGTTTAGGCGGCGACCGGTGGATGGAAGAATGTTTACATGTTGGTATCGGCATCGAACCTTCATGTTCGCTAAGCCTTATTATTATACTTTTAAAGTGGTGTTACCTTATTATAACATTTGTCCAAGCGACAAATAAATAAATAAATAAAAATAATACAATATATATTATATTTAATAATTATTTTAATAACTTCACTTATGTGATGACTTAGCATGAATGGACGAATCGAACCTAAATATATTCAAAAATTGAAATTTAAATTAATGGTTGAGAGCATGTAAATATTTATCTATATCAAATTAAACGGTAGGGTATCGATTGAGACGGATATTAAATGACTTAATGTAGAGGTAAATGGTGGAGCAGTGAGGGTGGTCCGCCATTTGCATTTGATGGGAGAGCATAAGATCCTCCAATCTTCCAATTTGGCCGGAGCCGGCTCAGGGGCTGCGTCCAATCTCCATTCATTCTCCACCGTATACCCCGCTAATGGTCAGTACCGTAATTTCCTTAATTCATCCTCAATGGCTACAGAAAAACAGTCTAAAATTTCCTCTTGGTGTTATTAATACTCCTAGTGTCACGCCGTAATTTAGTACCAGTTCGACAGCTATAAGCGAAGTCAATAGTGGATATGTCGCAAGTTAGCGGTTCTTAAACTTTTTTTCTATTTGCATTCATTATTATTCTAATTTTTTGTCTTAACCATATCATTGGAACATGTAATAAAAATTATAATGTAAGCTTTTTTTTTTACTTTCCTACAGATAGGTAAAGTAAGTACTACAATTGGGTAAAATTTTAGATATTAGGTTTTCAACGGATTACGTTTATTTATTACGTTTCAGAGCTTTCTTAGTCCGAAAAACGCATTTTAGCTATTGGTCTGTAATTGTGCGACACTATTATAAAGCGAACAGGAGGACCGATTTAGTCGCTTCATTTTTTGTTCTGTAGAGTTTCGGCTACCGATAGCTATGAATCGAATTGGACCCTCACTGGGTAATAGAGGCCGCGTAAGAAGAGAAAAACGTTTTCTATGCCCTGTAGCACCAAAACGGCTCCGACATTTTTTTAAGAAACTTTCTTATAATCTTCTACTCAAAGACCCTCAAATTTTAAGGCCAATATGAGCGTAGAAACATTCATGGTATGTTATATATATATTCTTTGTGAGTTTGACTTTCACTCTTTAGTAAACTCAGTTTTTACAAGGAGCCTAACACTCTGACACAGGCGGATCTACGGGGGGAGGGCTTTCGGGCGGAATCCCCTCTTCCCCCCCCCCAAATGGTAAAATATAACTATGTTTTACAGAAAAAAATATTTAAAACTATCTCTTGAAGTATTCTTGTTCCTGTAATTACATTTAATAGGACTTCAATAATCACTTAAACACCATTTCATATAGGTAGTTAATTTCTATCTTTTTTTTCTGATTAATTATTATTATATCTTTTTTTTTGTTCAAATTATTTCTATGAAGATTTACGAAAAAAAAATCTTTCGGGCTGAAGCCCCCCAAAATTAAATCCTGGATCCGCTAGTTCACTCTGATTTAGTTAACTTTACTAAATGTATGCCCTTTTGTCTTCTGCTTATGAATAAAATGGTGGATGTGGATTTTCGGCTCAAAGGCAAATCGCAGCGTAGATAAAATATTATCTTGTGGGTAGATTGGATGATTTTGGAATTCTCGAATATCCGAAAATATTGTGTTATTTCTTTATATACAAGGTGTATCACGTGATAAATTTACTATATTTATCGTATCGGTTGTTCAAAAAAGTGTTATTTCATTTTTTGTTTTCGTGTTGGTAGACCCACCATATTTTTTTTTTTTAAATACAATATATTTATTTTTCTTATGCTCAATATGTGTTTTGTCGATCTAGTCTCTTGATTTAGGAGAACCTCCCATCCAGCTATTTTTTATTCGCCTTCTAATAAGAATGTCAGTAGTAGGCATACCGCATAATATTCTGTTATTATGCTAGTGAATAAAAGAGTACGTATGTCTTTGTTGCAGGTCGGTAAGTAAAGTGCATTATACATAACAAGGAGAGTCTGTTATTAGTCTTAACATTTTTGCGTAAAAAAGATGATCCTTTTTGTAAGTTCTTCTTTTTTGCTGAACCGTAATTCTATTAAGCGTACTTGCACATGGATTTAAGTATCTGTATGCTGCTGTAAGAAAACCTGAACTAAATTATAGAATATGAGAAAAGACAGTGCGCTTGAAATTGATTATTATAACAGCTGAGGGGATGCGAAAATATACCATCACGCGAGAGATCCGGAAAAATAGGCTATAACCGAGTAAATAAAATTAAAATTTTAAATAATACATAAATGACGAAATAAATCTACTGCATGGTAATTGAACTACAAATACCAGTTAATAAAACAAACCAACACAAAAAACAAAGAAAAGAAAAAATATGAATAACAAACGGAATTCTGGAGTGGAATGTAAAAGAAGAAGGAAAGGGAGTGATAAGCAGCATCCTCTCCGAGATAAGATAAACTATTCTGAAGTGTGGCTTCAGTAACAGTTAAATCAATATATTTTTATTTTAAATAACGTTTTTGTTTGTGATTTATTATTATAAGAAAAATAAATAGAATAACATGGGTAAGGCACTGAATTTTTGACATCCGCACCGAGATTAGAACCCAATTACGAAAGAAAAATAGTTTTCTGTTCTTTATTCATAAATCGATTTTGTGGTTTCGGTAACCTACAGCTACCGTACATCCTGCCTCAATAAACTTATCCGAGAATAGATTGGTAAAAAGGAACCTAGCAGTTCATTGTGATGTTTGGGTCAATGAGATATTGGTCTTTCTTCCAGAAATCGTTTTCGGAAATACAATAATCTTTCAACATTCGAGGGTTTTGTTATCCACAAATTTTGTTCACCAGCGCAATGAGCAACAGTTCCACATTTCCAAATTGCGAATTTGATGATTCGTGATTAAATAAAAAAATCTGGTGAGCGCAACACACAACATTCACTTACCGATATACTTTGCATAGAAATTATTTTCTGGCAATGCTGGGGTATTATAAAATTTTTTGAAGTGCATTTTAAACGGAGCTAAAACTTAAAGCTTACAGACAACAAGTAATTAAGACCATTATAATTACAAAATGTCTATTTAATATATCGACGACAGGCAATAAAAATCTATTCACTCCATTTGCTTTTATAAGCCACACAACTTTCTTTGCTTTTATAAACCACAGAATAACTAACTCCAATTTCAACATTTTTGAGTGATGTTATCTTAGTGATATTTTTAGTTGAAAAAATTATCTATATAGCCAATGAGTAAGTTGATTCCGGAGGTGGTCATTGCAGTGTTGAAATATAAAACTGGGAATAAAGATATAAATTTAGGTACTTATTTCTTATGAAAGATGTTATTGTGAAAATGTGTTTCAGCGTTGATATAAAGTGGCACTTCCAGTTAGCCGATTTTAAGGGAAAAGTTGCCGTCACATCTAAGGCAAATACCTAACTTCAATACGTAATATCAGTTTCGTAGGACTTTTCGTTTTTGAGCTAGACTGCTAACATACGAACACACAGACCATTTTGCGACACTTGGTATTCTGTCGAAGTCTATAAAGCACAGGTAAACCTCTTTATCGTACTCGATGAATTTCTCACATACTGGTGTAGCGCAAATATGTGATCTTGAGTACTCCTGCCTGGTCGGAAGCCACTCTGCTCCTCGTCCAGTTGGTGCTCTACCTCGTTCCTCAATCTTTTTTTTTTAAGATCGTGAGTATATTTTACCTGGGACACTCAGCAATGAAATGCCTCTATTATTAGCACATTCTCGAGTATCACCTTTCTTGAAGATTGGGACAATGATTGAGATTTCCCAGTCTTTCGGAATCTTCTTATCTTTCCAGGCCAATTATAATATCCTGAAGATTCTAGTTCTAATTCATCTCATACCTCTCCCATATATCTAAGCATATCGGGTGTTATTCCATTATGACCTGCTGCCTTTCCCAGCTTCATCCTACCCAGTGCGTACCAAATTTCCTCTTTTAATATCGTGTCATCTTCTCCTTGTTGCAGTTCCACACTGTCCTCATTTATCTCCTGGCAATTTTCGATTTCTTCGTTCCTATCATTCCCATCCAGTAACTCTCTAAAGTATTGCCGCCATCTTTCCAGTATTCGCTTCAGCTCACTTATTTATTTGTCCGTCCTTAGCCTTTATAAACTTTATAGGGCATTCCTCATGTTTTGCTTGTTCTTCCATAAATTCTCTAAATTCTTTCTAGGCTTTCTGTTTCTTCTTCACAACCATTTCCTTTACTTTTTTCCTCTGCACCTTACATCTTTCCAGATTCTTCTCTCCCAGGTAGCTTCCCCAAAGGTGTTTCTTCCTTCTCACTTCTTCCCTTAAAACCTGCGTCCACCATGTAGTGCACATCACCTTCCCACAGACTACTTCTGCCGCACTAAGGATCACTGCCTTAAAGTTCGTCCATGCTTCTTCCAACTCACCAGATGTTGGCCAGAGCCCAGGCTTTGTCTTCCTTCTTCCACTTTTTTAGCAAATTCCTGCTGGATATCTTTATTTCTCAGTTGGATAACCTCAATTCCCCTTCTTTGTTCCGTGACATTTATTTCGTTTCTGTTGTTTGAGCACACTCATGTTTACTACAAGAAGGCAGTGGTCACTTTTAGAGTGAAGAAGTCTTCAGTCAGAACAAATCTAATTAAGCTAGAATATACAACTGTGCGTGGAGTTCAGACAACTTTAATTATTGTTATTTAAGGAGGAAATTGAGAATACAACAAAACATGACAACCATGAAACACAACCACAAATGAGACTTATGTTTTTTTTACAAACTTAAAGTAAAAATTGATATAAGTTTACTGAAAATTGCAAGGGGTTGAAGAGTAAATGGACTCAACAAATGGTTTCCATGATTCATTTTTCTTGTCATTTATAATTCTTCTGCAAACAGCCTTTTGGTTTTTATATTCAATGTGATTAGCCTGATTCATATTTTTAAACTTTCTTAAATGCATTTCTCCGAACTTGTATGGCTTTGTTGCAATCACTATCCAACCAGGGGAGAGGTGTCCTTTTTTAATGACCTTTAGTTTTAGGGATTGAGAACTCTGCTGCTGTAAGTATTGCCTTAGTTATAGATTTACACCCATCTATATTCATACTATTAAGGGAATTTTGAGGTGAAACAGCTAAAGAAGTGAATAGTGACCAATCTGCTTTTTCTAATAGCCAACGAGGGGCGCTGTAATTATTGCAGTTTGCACTTCTGAATTCTAGACGAATTGGGAAATGGTCGATTCCATAAGGTTCTGGTAGAACTTTCCATTTTATAGTATCAATCAGGGTGTAAGTGCATATAGAGAGATCTTTTTGCTTTTAAGTGCTCGTTGCTTTTTGAGAATGACAGATGTCGGTCTTTGATATGAAGATACTCAAATATCGATTTCATTAAATTCCGTCGGCTTCTTTCGATAAGGCGAGTCAAGCTTTTCCTTGACTAACCAACTTTGCTAACACGACTCTTATACCATAGATTTTATTTTCGAACGACATTGGATTATAGTTAATTATATGCCTAACCAATAAAATATGTAAAGGAGCTTTACTGACTCCACTTGACAGACTTGTTTTTTGAATCAGATTTAAATGAACCATTATCTTGTTTACATGATATTAATATTTTAAAAAACGCCTTTTCAACAATTGTGAACAAATTTTTATAAGAAAAAAACATTCCAAACCGTAATTATACCCAAACTTCAACATATTACTAACCAGAATGGAATTTATAAAATAAGAACAATAAATAATCTTAGGTAGAACTTTTACTCAGACATAGTCCGGTATCTTGGCTTTCATTTAGACCGAAGACTAACGTGGAACCCACATACTAGACTCAAAAGACAAGAACTCAACCGACGATACGGCCAACTATACAGACTAATAAATAGAAATTCTAAACTTTCCATTGAAAACAAGCTACTGATCTACAAGACAATACTGAAACCTATTTGGACTTACGGACTAGAACTGTGGAGATCACCAAAATTTTCTAACATCAAGCACATCCAATCCTTCCAGTCAAATGTCCTTCGAACAATAGTCGATGCACCTTTCAAAACCCTACATCATGACCTCAACATCCCATTTGTCCTAGACCTTATCCAAGAAAAATTCTCCAAATTTCACCAGAACCTTACGTACCACCCAAATCCTCTTGCACAATCCCTATAATCCTCCAAGAAGGTTGAAACGGCAGTGGCCTCGTGACCTTTTGTAGATTGTATACATTGGAGTTCTGGCAATGGCCAGATTCTTCACTCAAGACATGAGTGTATGTGGCTAAAGTGTTCTCGATCAATCTCCGCTGGCTTTAGTACCAGTGACGCGGTTGAGAGAGTAACGCAGGGTTCTGCTGGAGTTCTCTCGCCTGATTGTATATAGGTATGCATGTGTTTTTTTTCTGCTTAGTTTTAATTTTCTTATTTTTTAGGTTATTTTATTTTATTATCTATTGTATATACTTTTGATTATTATTTTGTACATATAGTGTGAATGTCATCCTAGACAGATTGTTGTAATACTCAATAAAGAAATAAAAAAAAGTTAGAACTAACAATTATTGTTAGACCTAACTCTCCTTGTCACATGATGACTTATATTCTTGTTCGACTGACCTTTCGAGAATCGCAATCGAAAATGGTCTTGTCATGAGATATGCACATTACAATCCTTCGAATTCGGTTGATCTTTACATCTAATGACAGTGCAGGTTTCTCTATTCAGTCACTGGGCAACAGTGGGCAAAATACATTCAGCTGATTGTGATGGCCTATTACTATTCCACTGAGCCACGCTCAACCTACAAATTTTCTAGCAATCAATATTCTATCAGTTGTTGTTTAGATATTTCAATCATATATATCGTATCGTGATTAGATTAATTAATGAATGGGAGCGTAGGAATCAGTTCATTGAAACATGAATATCAGTTCAGTATTATCATTTATAGGGACGTTTGAAACATTATAACAAAATCTTTCATTCAAAAAGAATACTAAATTTTTAGTGTTTCAATGCTTTTTTTTTTTGCTTTTTTTATGTTCGAGGAGCAATGGTTCCATGTCCTCCCTTATAATTAGCTTTTTTCAAACTAAATGTCTTCCACTTAGCAATCGTAATTAATAATCGTTAAACAGAGCGGTTTTCTAAAGAAATTTTCAGAAGATTTGACTATAGTAATTTATTATTAATATATATATATTAATATTAATATGGTAGTTATGAGAGATTAAATATATATATATATATATATATATATATATATATATATATATATTAATATTAATATGGTAGTTATGAGAGATTAAATAAGAAAACTAATACAAGAAATACTTATGAAGTAAATTTAAATATATTGTATCCTCTGATAGAGTGAGTTAATTAATAATAAATTACTATAGTCAAATCTTATAAAAATTTCTTTGGAAAACTGCTCTGTTTAACGATTATTAATTACGATTGCTAAGTGGAAGACATTTAGTTTGAAAAAACCTAATTATAAGGGAGGACATGGAACCATTGCTCCTCGAACATAAAAAAAGCAAAAAAAAAGCATTGAAACACTAAAAATTTAGTATTCTTTTTGAATGAAAGATTTTGTTATAATGTTTCAAACGGCCCTATAAATGATAATACTGAACTGATATTCATGTTTCAATGAACTGATTCCGACGCTCCCATTCATTAATTAATCTAATCACGATACGATATATATGATTGAAATATCTATAAAAATATCGATAGGAAAAAAAAAGATATATATATATATATATATATATATTAATACATTTAAAGTTCACATTGCATAAAAATAAATGTGAGACATTTATATATAAAATTATAGTAAATATAATGTTTATGTATATTGAGTCACTTGTTTCCAAAGAAAACTCTAATCTATTTCGATACAAATCGAGATAAGTATCGATTCTCATATAAAAACTCTCAACGAATCCGATAGTGCCTTTTTTTTTTTCAAAAATGAATCTGAATATTAAAAAAGAGGTGTGAAAATAGGTTTAATATTCAAACATTCCTTTTTTTCAAAGAATATTACGAAACATCCATTACTGTAGTATTCTTTAAAAAATAATTCATCAAATCATTTTTTGAACGTTTTATATAAATGGAAATTAATAATAAATTAATATTATTTTATCATTATGGTAAAAAAAAATAGATAATTTTTTAGTATACAATTTTCATAACTTCTTTCCCCGAATCAAACACAAGTTTTTCAATGCGCTACTGTTCTTGAAAAAGATCTTATATAAAAATTTTACAGGTTTATTCTCTTTGCCCCACAGCACCGCGTCGCCCAGCAGCTTGATATAAGACAATTGATACAAATAATTTCGAGTTCACATCGCGGATCGGGGGCTTTTAACTCTGGCATATTCCCCGCCCTCACCCCCTGACTCCTGAAAACGCCGTATAACGTAAAAAGCTAGGAAAGGGGGGACAAAAAAAATCAATTTCTACATACGATCTTTTCGACTAAAAGTACCAATATACTTTATCATTAATGTAATAATTATCAGTAATTTTCGGAAAGGTGTGCTACAAATAAAAAAAAATTCAATTTATTTATTTTTGGTTTTGATATTACAATTGGAGTAGAAAATATAGTTTTTAAAGTTCACTTTATTAATAAACGACTCATATAATTTCATTTAATGTTTATGAGCCGTTTATCAATATTAGTAAATGATGTAAGTAAACAAAAAAAATAGACATGCGATGTATCTTTATAAGAAGTGAGTAAAATGATCCTTCATTAATGAAACGGAAAATAAATCCACATTATCTCAAATATGAAAAAAACAATGCGTTTCACCCTGTAAGTATTCCAACTATACAGAATAAATATATTGGTATTTGGAGATTCAGAGTTTCCGGTTTGTTCCGGTAACAAAACTAAGCAAGCTATCTTATCTTAGAGTGAATATTATAAAGAGTTTTGTAGCCAGAGATGAGGCTGGGGCAGGAATCATTGAACTTGCCTCGCTGATAACCCATGTTAGGGTCTCTCTTTCTAGTATCTGACCTCATATCGGAGGAAGTCTTATATCACACCCATTCACCAGTCCACGCTGAGCCAAATATCAACCAATGATGACTGAATTTCGATCTGACTACATCATTTAGCAATCGATATAAGAAGAAGCTACCCTAAATAGAACAGAAAAAAAATTAAAATAAGTCCGAAAAATTTAAGAATAACTGGATTTTACAGAAAAAAAAAAAAGATTGGTTCGTAGATATGTAATAAAACTTTACGAAAAAAAATGTATATGCTATATATCATTATTATATATATCATATATATATATA